TTATTGCAGTGATTAATTTGACCTGTATGTAGAAAATGTTACATTTACATCACATCATGGATCAGTCAGCAGCAGCATCTGATCAATGTGTGATTGTGTCTGTTTTTGTCACTTTTACAGTGGATTGCATCAACTCTGTTACATCCAGAAGTGAAACATAAATCTGTGGATCTGTGTTTGATTACTCTGCCTGGCTTTCTCAAGGACCAGGATGTGACACAAAAATCTGAATTATGGAACTGAAAGTGAAAGTAGTCAAACTGAATTTTTAATAAACCAAAATACAGTTTCAAAGTAAATTAATTCAGAAACAAAACTTTAAATTCAGTTTCAGATTCTGCACATTCAGATTGAATCTGAGTAATTCAGACTGACTTCCTGCTGGTACCACACTGATCCCATATAAACCTGTTGTGTTCTGGGCCGTGTGAACAGATGGACCTGCTCCAGGAGTTCTATGAAACCACCCTGGAGGCTTTGAAAGATGCTAAAAATGACCGGTTGTGGTTTAAAACCAACACAAAGGTATTCAAAGCTTCACCTCGTGTGTTTCTGACAGGTTTATTTTCTGAACACACTCACATGGTTCTGGTTCATTGTTTGTGCAGTTGGGAAAGTTGTACTTGGAAAGAGAAGAATATGGAAAACTGCAAAAGATTTTGAGGCAGCTTCACCAGTCCTGTCAGGTGATTAGACCCTCCTCATGCATCATCTTCTGGGGTTCAGCCTCAGACATGAGGTCATCCTAATAAGAGATGTGCTCCAACTGCAGACTGACAGCTGCTGTTTGAATTTGTTTTGTATCTGCAGACAGATGACGGTGAGGATGACCTGAAGAAAGGCACCCAGCTGCTGGAGATCTACGCGTTAGAGATCCAAATGTACACGGCTCAGAAAAACAACAAGAAGTTAAAAGCCCTGTACGAGCAGTCGCTGCACATAAAGTCTGCCATCCCTCACCCGCTCATCATGGGCGTCATCAGAGGTCCGCTGTGCTCTCACAGCTGCAGGTTAACGCCAGGAATTAGTCTCAGTCGTGTGCTTAGCCTGACCCGCCTGTGTTTGTCTCGCTCAGAGTGCGGAGGGAAGATGCAYCTGAGGGAGGGGGAGTTTGAGAAAGCTCACACAGATTTCTTTGAGGCCTTTAAAAACTACGACGAGTCTGGGAGCCCGAGGAGGACGACCTGCCTGAAGTACCTGGTGTTGGCCAACATGCTGATGAAGTCAGGGATCAACCCGTTTGACTCTCAGGAGGTACAGTATGAACGCCTGTCCTCACTGCTGCTTTGGACCAGTGTGGGCACCGCTAACCATACTGTTAGCTTCACTAACCACTAATCCACTAAGCAAGAGTCTTAGCTCTGCTAACGCTAAACAAAAAGTTAGTAGAAGCTACCGCTAACTGCTAACTGGCTCAGTCTTCATCTGCTTYYAGSTGAAGCCAGGTGRGTCTGACACAAACCTGCTGTTGGCTTTTTATTAGTTTAATTTGAAGGTGGGCGGGATCATCTGTGGCAAATCAGCCAATCCAAACCAGAGTTATAGCTCTAACCCTTTCAGAATAAAAGCATTTCTTGGTTCTGCTTTGTATTTTTATAAATACTGTTTCTACACTTGTGAGTGTTTTTAGTGAACTTGAATTAGCTGAGCCTAACTTGGCAGAAGCTAATCAACCCGCTAACGGCTTCCAAAGTTAGCAAACAAGCTAATCTGCCAGTTGGGCTATTAGCGGACCAGTGGAACTCCGCCCACCASAGGTCTAGGCCTAAACAGGAAATAATAGTTTTTATTGTTGATAAACGCAGCTGAAACATACTCTGAGTGATTTATTTATAGTTAATGTCTTATAAAATTTGTCAGAGATTTAACGTATAAATTTTTTTGTTTAAAGGCCAAACCGTACAAAAACGACCCTGAGATCCTCGCCATGACAAACTTAGTAAGGTGAGTGTCCTCCTGTGGAACAAAGGTTGTTTTCATCAACTTTTAAAGTTTCACACTTTGAAATGTTTGAATTATAAGGAAATACAAATAACAACAAAATGTTTACAACAACAACGACTCTAAATCCAGAAATATTCTGAACATTATATTTGAACACAGGAGTGTAATCTGTGGGTTCTGGCTCGTTGTCATCTGAACGTCTGTATATTATGGGATGGAGTCGGAACAGTTCAGCCACATTGTTACACATCCCCTCAGTACGACGTTTAAATGTCGTACAGCTAGCACCTTCCTTTCTCAGGTTATGACTAAAATTAATCTTAAAATTCACGCTGCTTCCTGCCCGACTCGACCAAGCTCCTCCCCTCTGCCTCCAGCCTCCTCAAACCCACCGTCAATCTGACCAATCACGAGTAGGGCCGTCTCCGCCCACAGGACATGTTCTGCAGAGACCCTCTTCTCAACACATTTTTTATTTTAAACAGACGTGTTCAGGGTCCAGATGTTGGTTGTCCATCAGACCTGGATGTTTAAAGAAGATAAATGTTAGAGGATTAAACTGTAATCCAGAGGACTGGTGACATGTTTATCAGCAGCTGTCTGTCAGACACGGTGCAGGAAGTCAAACTGGGTTCGTTTCCTCTTCCAGCGCCTACCAGAACAATGACATCACAGAGTTTGAGAAGATCCTGAAGACGAATCACAGCAACATCATGGACGACCCGTTCATCAGAGAGCACATTGAGGGTGAGCCGACACTTCCTGTTTCACAGGAAACAGCTGTTCTGACGCCACTGATGGATTCTGTACCGTTTGTTTCAGAGCTGCTGCGAAACATCAGAACTCAGGTTCTGATCAAACTCATCAAACCCTACACAAGAATACACATCCCCTTCATCTCCAAGGTGTGTGCGTTTATATATCAGCCGAAATTTAGCTTCATGTTTTATAACAGCCGAACTTTAGCTTCATGTTTTATAACAGCCGAACTTTAGCTTCATGTTTTAACAGCCAAACTTTAGCTTCTTGTTTTATCAGCCGAACTTTAGCTTCATGTTTTAATATGATCCGAACTTTAGCTTCATGTTTTATAACAGCCGAACTTTAGCTTCATGTTTTAATATGATCCGAACTTTAGCTTCATGTTTTATAACAGCCGAACTTTAGCTTCATGTTTTATATCAGCCGAACTTTAGCTTCATGTTTTATAACAGCCGAACTTTAGCTTCATGTTTTAATATGATCCGAACTTTAGCTTCATGTTTTAATATGATCCGAACTTTAGCTTCATGTTTTAATATGATCCAAACTTTAGCTTCATGTTTTAATATGATCCAAACTTTAGCTTCATGTTTTAATAATAGCCTAACTTTAGCTTCATGTTTTAATATGATCCAAACTTTAGCTTCATGTTTTAATATGATCCGAACTTTAGCTTCATGTTTTAATATCAGCCGAACTTTAGCTTCATGTTTTAATAATAGCCTAACTTTAGCTTCATGTTTTAATATCAGCCGAACTTTAGCTTCATGTTTTAATAATAGCCTAACTTTAGCTTCATGTTTTAATATGATCCGAACTTTAGCTTCATGTTTTAATAATAGCCTAACTTTAGCTTCATGTTTTAATATGATCCGAACTTTAGCTTCATGTTTTAATAACAGCCGAACTTTAGCTTCATGTTTTAATAACAGCTGAACTTTAGCTTCTTGTTTTAGTGAATAAATGGTTTAATTCCTCAGATATTGGCTAACAGCTAGTCGTGAAACTTTAGCATGGTTCAGGGTCATTTAAAGCTGAGGCGTCTTCAGCTGTATTTAATGTAAACTCATTTTTCAGGAGCTGAACATCGACGTGTGCGACGTGGAGAGTCTGCTGGTTCAGTGCATCTTAGATAAGTAAGTTTGTCTTTAGTGTTTTACAATAGAAAATGACTCATTTCCTGTTAGTAAAATGTTTCCTCATAGTTTGATCTTTCAGTCGTCACACATGCAAGACCTGCTGAGTCAGATTAAAGACCCGCTGACATTAAAGATCTGCTGACTCATATTGAAAAACCTGCTGACTCGGATTAAAGACCTGCTGACTCAGATTAAAGGCCTGCTGACTCAGATTAAAGGCCTGCTGACTCATATTAAAGGCCTGCTGACTCGGATTAAAGACCTGCTGACTCAGATGAAAGACCTGCTGACTCAGACTAAAGACCCGCTGACTCAGACTAAAGACCCGCTGACTCAGACTAAAGACCCGCTGACTCAGACTAAAGACCCGCTGACTCAGACTAAAGACCCGCTGACTCAGATTAAAGACCCGCTGACTCAGACTAAAGACCCGCTGACTCAGACTAAAGACCCGCTGACTCA